ACTTACTTGCCTTATTTTTGTTGATTCAAATGACTAGAAAATTTAAACAATAATTGAAATAAATTGGTATTTTTAAACATTTTAGGAAGAAAAATCAAAGATTTTATTTTGGATCAAATAATGCCAAACATTTTATTTTAGAAATTCTCCATCACTGATTTATGACGTTATATTGGGGTTTATCTCCTGCGTCATAATAAATATTTGCTATCTCTAATCATATGAAGCAATTGGTTATTTTCGCTAAAATAATCATTAAAAGCATTTGTTCAGTCCATTTAATTGATATCTAACGAAATGAAGTATACAAAAAAATGGACCAACAAACCTCCTGGCAAACATCTAGAATTATAATCTGCAAGCTTCTCTGAGTTCAAAACTATGTACAGAATCCGGTCCTGTTCCTCATATTTTGCACCTATCTAAAATGTAATAACCCAAATCAACACTGTTTCTTTTGAAAAACAATTGAATAACAATGACAGTTCGGCGAATGTCTTGTTCAACAAAAACGGCAACACGGTCTTTTAGGTTTTAGACGCCGCGGTAGAACCTTCGCGAAAATTCGAACGCTTTCCTACGGTGATTTTTTGTATAAAAAGACTACAAAAGTGATTGAATTTTATTGGTATATTTGTTTAAAACATTTCTTATTTAGTGTTATTGATATTGAGTGTTAAAATACCGGTATGAACATTGTACTTGTGAAATTCCGGAGAAGAAGCTGAGTGACGCTATCTTTCAAAAGGTATTTATAAAAAATTTTAAATCAAATTGCAGTAGGTATATCGTAACTTCATAGTTTATAGGTATCTTAAAGTAATGTAGCATTATTCAATAATCTTTATATACCGTTATTTAGAAAAACTAACTTCCAAAGGTAACTTCTTCATTGAACTATCTATTAACTAGGTATTCTAGTCATACTTATTTAGGTACGCCTTTTTATTAATTTATATGGTTGTCTGTTTATAAGAAGGTCAGAAAGAGTTTTAAAAATGTATGATCAAATTAGTTTCCAGTGAAATTTTTTTTTGTTTCTTGTAAATGTAGACATGATGTAATAACGCGCACGCTGGATGCGCATCAGTTCATCTAATTTGCAACGCAACGTTGCCAGATTGTGATTAATATATCAATAAATAATATTTAATTAGAAATACATTTCAAACAAATGTTTACAGGATACCTACTGAATACCCCATAATTTTTCTTTCAGTAGTTGTAATACTGCATAGTTATCACTGACAGTAAATAAAAAACGAATTAATTGATGAATATAAATAAAAAAAAAATTATTGATTTATGTATCTGTAACGTGTGAAAGGTGGGTTACCCCACGGCACTTAGGCCTCACTAGACCCATTGTGCATCCTCCTAAGACGATAGGCATCTCCTAGCTCGTGAGCCAGCCTACAGATTTAATGTAGTTGACAACGTCGCCAAGAGGTGCTTCCGAGGGTGCTTCTCTTCCCAGCTAGCACAAAAACATCCCATCTACGTTAATAAGCTGCAATTTTAGGCTCTTTAAGCTCGCATGCGATGTACTTTTAATGTAACCCTAATATCCGAGCTAATATCCTTGCTGAATGTCCGCAACGGCAAG